GAGATGTTAGAAACATTGTATAATGTTACTGTAGGTGTAGATGATAGAGACATTGTATTATGTTGCTGTAGATAGATGATAGAAACATTGTATAATGTTACTGTAGGTAGATGTTATAAACATTGTATAATATTACTGTAGGTAGATGTTAGAAACATTGTATAATGTTACTGTAGGTAGATGATAGAAATATTGTATTATGTTACTCTAGATAGATGTTAGAAATATTGTATAATATTGCTGTAGATAGATGATAAAAACATTGTATAATATTATTGTGGATAGATGTTAGAAACATTGTATAATATTACTGTAGATAGATGATAGAAACATTGTATAATATTACTGTAGATAGATGATAGAAACATTGTATAATATTACTGTAGATAGATGATAGAAACATTGTATAATATTGCTGTAGATAGATGATAAAAACATTGCATAATATTATTGTGGATAGATGTTAGAAACATTGTATAATGTTACTGTAGATAGATGTTAGAAACATTGTATAATATTACTGTAGATAGATGATAGAAACATTGTATAATATAAACGTAGGTAGGTGTTAGAAACATTGTATTATGTTACTGTAGATAGAAGGTAGAAACACTGTATAATGTTACTGTAGGTAGATGTTAGAAACATTGTATAATGTTACTGTAGGTAGATGATAGAAACATTGTATAATATTAATGTAGATAGAAGGTAGAAACACGGTATAATGTTACTGTAGATAGATGTTAGAAACATTGTATAATGTTACTGTAGTTAGATGATAGAAATACTGTATAATATTACTCTAGGTAGATGATAGAAACATTATATAATGTTACTGTAGATAGATGTTAGAAACATTGTATAATATTACTGTCGATAGATGATAGAAACATTGTATAATATAAACGTAGGTAGGTGTTAGAAACATTGTATAATATTGCTGTAGATAGATGATAGAAACATTGTATAATGTTACTGTAGGTAGATGATAGAAACATTGTATAATATTACTGTAGATAGATGTTAGAAACATTGTATAATATTGCTGTAGATAGATGATAGAAACATTGTATAATGTTACCGTAGGTAGATGATAGAAACATTGTATAATATTACTGTAGATAGATGTTAGAAACATTGTATAATATTGCTGTAGGTAGATGATAGAAACATTGTATAATGTTACTGAAGACAGATGTTAGAAACATTGTATAATGTTACTGTAGGTAGATGTTAGAAACATTGTATAATGTTACTGTAGGTAGATGTTAGAAACATTGTATAATGTTACTGTAGGTAGATGTTAGAAAAATTGTGTAATGTTATTGTAGGTAGATGTTAGAAACATTGTATAATGTTACTGTAGTTAGATGATAGAAACAATGTATGTTACTGTAGGTAGATGTTAGAAACATTGTATAATATTGCTGTAGGTAGATGATAGAAACATTGTATAATATTAATGTAGATAGAAGGTAGAAACACGGTATAATGTTACTGTAGATAGATGTTAGAAACATTGTATAATATTGCTGTAGGTAGATGTTAGACACATTGTATTATTTTACTGTAGGTAGATGATAGAAACATTGTATAATGTTACTGTAGGTCGATGTTAGAAACATTGTATAATATTATTGTAGATAGATGTTAGAAACATTGTATAATGTTACTGTAGGTAGATGTTAGAAACATTGTATAATATTGTTGTAGGTAGATGTTAGAAATATTGTATAATGTTACTTTAGATAGATGATAGAAACATTGTATAATATTACTGTAGGTATATGATAGAAACATTGTATAATATTACTGTAGATAGATGTTAGAAACTTTGTATAATGTTACTGTAGGTAGATGTTAGAAACATTGCATAATATTGCTGTAGGTAGATGTTAGAAATATTGTATAATGTTACTTTAGATAGATGATAGAAAACATTGTATAATGTTACTGTAGGTATATGATAGAAACATTGTATAATATTACTGTAGATAGATGTTAGAAACATTGTATAATGTAACTGTAGGTAGATGTTAGAAACATTGTATAATATTACTGTAGGTAGATGATAGAAACATTGTATAATATTACTGTATATAGATGATAGAAACATTGTATAATATTACTGTAGGTAGATGTTAGAAACATTGTATAATGTAACTGTAGGTAGATGTTAGAAACATTGTATTATGTTATTGTATATAGATGTTAGAAACATTGTATAATATTACTGTAGGTAGATGATAGAAACATTGTATAATGTTATTGTAGGTAGATGATAGAAACATTGTATAATATTACTGTAGGTAGATGATAGAAACATTGTATAATATTACTCTAGGTAGATGTTAGAAACATTGTATTATGTTATTATAGATAGATGATAGAAACATTGTATTATGTTATTGTAGATAGATGTTAGAAACATTGTATAATATTACTGTAGGTAGATGATAGAAACATTGTATAATGTTACTCTAGATAGATGTTAGAAACATTGTTTTATGTTATTGTAGATAGATGTTAGATATATTGTATAATATTACTGTAGGTAGATGATAGAAACATTGTATAATGTTATTGTAGATAGATGTTAGAAACATTGTATAATATTACTGTAGGTAGATGATAGAAATATTGTATAATGTTATTGTAGGTAGATGTTAGAAACATTGTATAATATTACTGTAGGTAGATGATAGAAACATTGTATAATATTACTGTAGGTCGATGATAGAAACATTGTTTTATGTTATTATAGATAGATGATAGAAACATTGTATAATGTTACTGTAGGTAGATGTTAGAAACATTGTTTTATGTTATTATAGATAGATGATAGAAACATTGTATAATGTTACTGTAGGTAGATGATAAAAACATTGTATAATGTTACTGTAGGTAGATGATAGAAACATTGTATAATAATGCTATAGGTAGATGTTAGAAACATTGTATTTAAATTGATACTACGTCTTAGAATGAACATAAAATTTAAGAATTTTAAACTTGGCCAAAAAGAGCCAGTAGATATACCTGGTGTCATAAATAACATTACAAGATCCTAATATAATCTGATAAATCCAAAAAAAACTTAGTAATTATCCATAAATATGCAATTAACTATTTAAAAACGCTTAATATCAAGCGTTTTTCAATAATTACTTAGTGTTATGAATTTTCTAATTTTCCAGATTTTACAGGGAATTTGTTGTAACTTTATGACACCAGGAAAGTTCACTGATTAATATATACTCATATTGACAATTCTATAGAGCTTAAATTTCATGTTCATTCTAAGACGTAGTATCACTTTATATAGATGTTGGAAATAATACATGTTCAATTCAGCAATGAACGACGGACCCACTGCAGTTACGGTAATATGAATACATTGGGCAAGGTGCCAAATTGAATGAGCTGCCGAAAACAGTCATGATAAATTTGGCACCTTGACCAATGTATTCATATCACCGTAACTGCAGTGGGTCCATCGTTCATTGCTTATAATTCCACTGTCTAATGTATTCTATTCACGAAGTTTCCGATTGATAAATTATATTTCCAAAAAGATTGCCGTTACAAAAATAAAGCCTCAACAGCAGCCATATTGCTCAGGAATGTGACCACGTGACCCACTGCAGTTTACGCGAATTTGAATGCATTTCTTGTCAAAGGGTTCACTGTGAGAAATACACTGAGAGTGGAAATATTAATTTATGATTGGTAGTCAATATTGATATTATCGATAAAGAATGAACTAGTTTGTTAGTTTGTATTAAAGCTGTTATTATTCATTCTGAATGATCAGTTGTTGCCTTTACCTTATTTTTGTTAGAAAACGATTATACCAAACATCGGAAGTGAGAAATTTTTAACGTGGTGTCAATCATTTCTAAAATGATGTTCATCACTACTGCACATGCAATGGGGGTTTTTTAGGCTTGAAGTACGCCACAGGCACATGTTCATATTGTCCAATAGTTCCGACATCTCACATGCAACTAATATGTTTTATTTAGTTGTGGAGTAAGCAACCGATTCATTTCATGTTCATTAATTTTCAGCGAATACCTGCGATCAATTTAAACGCACCAGGGGCGCAACTGGAATGTAACCTGCATGAAGCCCGTACACAGATATTGACAGATCATATGTTTTGTTAGCAAACCACTAGCAACCGTCATGTAACTTACCAATACGTAGCCCACACAAAACTCACACGCAACACATAATTGGTATATAAGTTATAACCGAACTAAAAAAAATCATTTCGTGCTTATACAATATTTAATACGCAACTCATAGGTTTCAGCATACGCTATGGTGTAAGGGCCCCCTTAAGTTATTCTTATTCTTCGGATATCTATAAAAAACATATTTCACAAGCTGTCACGTGCATTAGTATGACTGTGGGAGATCTGGCGACAATCTGTAATGGAATGGTTCTGGCTGTAAGGCTTATAATTATAGCAGATTTGTTGGAGAGAAAGAAACATGGCTTATATTGAAATAAAGAGGACTGTATTTTTTATTACGTCAAATCAATCATAATCGTCACGAACATCAAGCCAGACTTTGTTACCTGCATTTCAAAATGTGATAATCTGGACCATTATATAATACGTAAACACAAGACAAATTTGTAACCAAAAGAAAAGTTCCTAAAATGTACACAAAATTACAAATCTCATACAATGACAGCTAAAAACCACAAATACTGCAGGTAAAATATGCAATTTTTTACTCCGTTTATTCCACGACATATTCTACAACACAAGAGGTCGGTTATTTAGTGTAAACGATACTTGACATAAGAACCGACCACTATTAACAGAGAAATTCAAAGCAATAAAAAGCGTCTTTAATAATAAGCTACTTTTAAGACAAGATATGAGATTTGTTGGTTTTGCAACGTATTTCGCCAATAGTTATGCGACATAGCGCCTCCAGTTGCAAAACTGTCGGTGCAGCGGATATCATCAGCAAACCACCATCCTCCTCCGAAGGTCGTTGGACAATCGAATCCCGTCAAATCGCTGTCGAACGTTGAGAACGGTCGACCTGTTAAATTAAGCGTACTATTGCCCCCCATAATCGAATCGCCACAAAACGTAGATCCTATAGCATCAAATCTTGCAGCGTAGAATGTATACTGACTTGAATAATTTCCAATTGAAAAAAGGTTGTATTTTATTCCGCAGGAAATACTCGAGGTTCTTCTAAAATATACTTCTAAACGCAGTCGTGAATTTTGTTTGCTCACCAATGGAAGTATCTTATCAAATCCTAGCCATCCATTCCAAGGAACATTTCCAAATCCCACCCCATACTCATGCAAACTGCGGTTGAAGTTTTCGACATTACAGGTAGCATCTCGTTCAAGAATGGTTAGAGCTCCTGAACTTCCCAGCCAGCAAGATGCTTCAAAAGGTTCGGGGGATGTTTCTGGTTGAATATTTGTAAGAACAGTTTTCGATTCTCCAAATCCTCTTGCCACATAATCTTTACAGTCTGAAAAACAGTTTTTTACTGTCATTAAATGTTAACAAACAAAACTAACATTGAATAGTAACAACAAGTTCTTTTTTCAGTGAGGCGCTGAAATAGAAAAAGCGTCAGGTCGTTGGGTTTGAAAGGCTGTGCACGTTAAAGATCCACCGGCATTTTGGAAATAAAATGTAGACTACTACACTGCATGACATTGCACGTCTTCATTAGACCTACTAGTTGCAGAAAAGTAGAAAGTAAGACACTTTATTATTTCATATTCCCAATAATTAGGCAATAAATAATTATAATAATTTAACGACAATTTGAGTTTGGGCGTATACTAACAATACGAACGTTTTATACTGTAGGCTGGAAAAAAGTTACCAAGGTTTGAAAAATACCTAGATAAAAACACAATATAAATGATTGGATTGAAATATTCTAAACTGATTGATAAGTCAACAAAACCACCACAAGAAATGGTATAGATTGCGCCAGAGTCGCACAAAGTCATGAGGGATAGGTCGCCTTTCCTCCTGTAGGAATGGATGAGTTCTCGTGGGATTGACTGGAGGGTGTTGTCTCTGGTGAACACGGCGATCCGTAAAAGTTGTTCTATGGGGGACATGTCGCGGGAACATACATGCCACGGAAACACGTTGATTTTGTTGACTCTAAGGAAGTTATGATTTAGATTATGATTCTGTGTGTATGGGGTCTGGTGCTGCATGTGGCTGTTGGAGAAATGGCAAGACTATCGAACGAAGAATGTCTTAAAATGTATAATACATGTAAATTTTTGAGATATTTTGATAAACTAAAGACTATCAACTTGATAATGATAGAAGATGTTTATCCACATAAATGTATTTTGATTGTTTCTGATTGACTGGAGGCACGTTGGAAGCAATTGATTTTGATCACTTCATATTGTATATCCTGTTATCCTTACCTATAGCTATTTGTGTACATTTATCGCCATAGAAACCTCGAGGACAGGTACATGTATCAGCAACACATCCAAAATACTAAAACCAGAAGCAAAAATTGTTTTAAAACTAGACTAAATTTATTGAAAAGTTCTTTTCCATCCCAATGGGAATGTGGAATATTTAGAAAATGGTTATAGGTCTCATACTATTTTGGTAGTTGGAATAATGATAAGAAAATATGTAAAATTTCGAAAGTAGACGAAGTCGAACTTCGTAGGACTGTTTAAGCCTTCAAATGGTAATCAAAATAAAACGGCCCTTTGGAATTTGAGATGTTACTAATCCTTCGCTACACCACCAGTTCCAGCAATCTATACACAACAAACCAGCAGGATCTTTAAAATCAATTACAGTGACCATGTTTGTAATTTTTCATTTAAAAAAAAAACTACTTTCAAGAAAGCAGGCTATGGTGTAAGCAGATGGAGATAACACAAAATATTAAAAACTTAGAGAGAAACTAGTAAATATAATGAATCACTTTAGTTTATGTCAATATCTATTTATCTTTTCGCAGAGAATTACAACAGAATCCCTGTAAAATCTGGAAGATTGATAAATTCATAAAAATGAGTAATTATTGAAAAAACGCTTAATGTTGATATTAAGCGTTTTTCAGTAGTTAATTGCATATTTATGGATACTTACAAAGTTTTTTGGATTTATTGGATTATTTAAGGATCCTGCTATGTTATGTATGACACCAGGTATATCTACTAGCTCTTGTTGGCCAAGTTTAAAAATTCTTAAATTTTATGTTAATTCTAAGACGTAGTATCACCTTAAGGTTTCAACTAATAATATAGAGCCATTATAACACCAATACTAAGTCAAACCGCTTAATCAACAAACTAGTACTCTCCATTTATAACTAACCCTTTTAAAATAAATTCAGTTTGCTCAAACGATGTTTGTGATAATGAAAACTTTATATTTAAAAGCAGAATACCCATTTAAGATAAATATTCTAATGTAAGGTTGTGATTTTCTATCAGCTTCAATTATTTACCGAACATTAATCAAACCTTTTAATGACAACTAATGGTGGCTGTGTATTAGGGCACCATTGAATTGAAAGAATCTTAAGACTGAAAGGTTTTGACCAACTTGGTTTAATCATGTGTGTTATGATATCTCCTTTGTTTTGAAGACCTGATTAAGTTACTACATCTAGTTCAGGTATTATTGACAGGCATAGCCTTATTGCTGTTTGACAATGTTGTAAACTAAACTGATACGTTCAGATAGAAAAAATATATTTGTTTCCAGAAATAAAAGTCACCCTGGTATTTTCCGCTGCGTTATTCCACTGATAAGAAAAGAAATAAGAAAAATATCATAGGTTTTTACCTTAACAAAACAGCGATATCCAGAAGAATCACCATTTACAATACAATTGTTACCATCAGAATATAACGTACACATCAAATTATTTTTAGAGTGCAGAAATCTTCTACAGTCTTTTACTCTACCACACCACAAAGCACACTCCCAAAATTTAACAGATCGCGTCTCCAGTTTTAATGATTTGTCACATCTATCGTTGATAATCGTGGTAAATCTGAAGTTAGCAAACGTATCGTTGGTATCAGACATTACAAGTACAAATAAGGGTAGAAAATACAATCCTGTCGAAAAAAGGATCATCTTCGTTAAATGTGTAATGCTGTATTGCACAGCGCTTTTAGGTTTCTGATATATAAAATGTCTTCGAGGTATATTTAGTTCCGTATCGATTACCTGTTTTTCAACACGAGTGTTAAAGGGGCTGTCGGAAAACTATACATCAAAATCTAGAGAAATACTACGAAATAAGTTATTCGTTAAAACGAAATAAGTTATTCGATTACCCCTTGTGTTTGTTGTTATATCTACTCTCCACTTCTAAATGTCGTTCAAATCTTATAATATTTCGTTTAATCGAATAACTTATTTCGTTAAAACGAATGAATTACTTCGTTTAAACGAATGAATTACTTCGTTTAAACGAATGAATTATTTCGTTTCAACGAAATACAGTTTTTATTTCGTTTAATCGAAATAATTAATTCGGTTAAACGAAATAAGTTATTCGATTAAACGAAATAATCATTTCGTTGAAATAAAATAATTAATTCGTTTAAACGAATTCATTATTTCGTTAAAACGAAATATTTTATAAAAGTATAAAAAATTGCGCTTTAGGGGCTCCGTAATTAGGAGACATATATCTATACATTTTGACGTAAATTTTGCTTAAAGACTTATATTAGTTTTCCAACACCCACCAAAAAATCATAGCGACTGTAAAAGGGTAGACTTTTTCGATGATTTTGGCGTTCTAAAAACTAACAGCAGGATTGTTTTAGGTAAAACTTTTAGATTACTTTTTTCCAGATTTTGGTTTACAATTTTCATTAATTTGAGCAACTTCATTTGCCTAGCTACTAGAAAATCAGACTGTCACTTTAAACATTTTAAAAAATCCACGGTTACATTTCTGGAAGAATAATCTATATAATAACAACAAATCCCACACTTGTGTTAAAAAGTAACATAAAAGAACCATTAAAAGACATTTTTTTCCTTTGTCTAAGCATCTTACGAACTTGCTTCGCGTGGTCAAGTGTCCATTAAATACATATTGGTTCTGCTCTGAACAAATATACGACAGCTACACTAATTCCTAACAGCTTCAAGTCGTACTTCTCGTGTCCTGAAGATAATTAATGTCATGAAGTGTCACAAAAACTTTACGCCCCTCTAAAAACCCAATAATATTCCTTTGATGTCAACTTAAAAGGTATTATCAAGACGTTTTCTAATCTCCTGATAGCGCCAATTTTCATATTCAGTCAGTGGCGGAGCCAAAGGGGGGAGTGGTGAGATGTATGCAAAGGGGGCAGTTGCCCCCCCCCCCCTCCCCCCTCGCAGCCCCGAAAGTAAGTTTTTCGGGCAAAAATCTCATAACTAGGTTCGGGCAATCTCAGATATACCTCCCCCTCGGACGTAATCCTGGCTCCACCACTGTATTCAGTCAGATATATTCCGTGAGTCTAAACCTTGGCGTTTTATTACGGTGTCATGCTCTGGTACGTTGGAAATAGAGATAATGTGAGAGTCAGGCCCATATCAAGCCAAGTACTTCTCTCCCGGGAAACTTTGTTAATTGTTACGCATTACAGTGGTGCTCTCTATAGAGTTATTGCTATATTCTTTGCTGCAAAGGACGCCCATTGGAAGCCTGGAAACACGATTTTCTGAAGTCTGGGGACCTCTTCTAGAAAATGTTTGAAAATTTGACTCCCTGAAACGCGATTTCCTGACATTTGTTGTTGTGATCAGCGGCGGCGGCAGTTGGAGTACAGGCGGGTACTGGAGCTATTTGTGGTTCAGGCAGATATGCAGGATGTGTATCCTTGGATAAGGATTATCATCATTAAATTCCATATCATCTCCATCCTTCTTCAAAGAATTAGAGACAACCCTAGGAATGATTTTGAAAATGAACAATTTCATTAGCCGTGATAATAGTAGATTTCACTGTAATAACTGTATAAAGTTGTGGATTAAAGGCAGTGGAAAATATTATATGTTAATTTAGTATAAATTTGATTTTGGTAATGTGAATTATAGCTACTCTCCCCTACTCTTGTATGCGACCTTTACCTACGCGAGTTATCTCATCTTGTCTTCTCATCATGGCTGCTACATGCCTGCAATCTCTGCGAAAAAATGAATTAGATGAAGACGTTGATGAGATAACATTCCTAAATGGTTCTGAGGAAGTAATCCTTACTCCTATCGCCACAAGGGAACTCAGAAGTAATGATGAGCTCAATTCTCTTCGTGAACAGATACAAGAGTTGCGGTTTCAACGATCCAAAATGTCTCTTGAAAAGCAAATGAATAAAGAGAGGCAAGAGATTGTTATGTTGCAATCTGAATCAACCCACACCTCAACTCATCGGCATCTCAACTAAGCCAGCAATTATTGTCCAGATCAACAGACAGTGACAGGACAGAAGGTAGGAGAACAAAAGCCTATCAAATTTATGACTTTATTTGGGATGATCCCAGTTATAGAGATGATAGTGATGACTTTGTTTCCTTTCAAAAAGATGGTTCACTAACCGTGAATAAGAAGAATAGGCCTAGATATAATAAACTTTCAATAGAACAATGGGGATACGCTAATTCCAAAATTATGGAATGTTTGATTAATGATGGCTCTCTTTCTACCACTATTCAAATTATGGAGTACATGGAATATACAGAGTCGGTTTTTCGTTTGTTCAGTAGATATTTACAGTAGTGCCTTGATGTTTGATAAAGAGTATCGCGAATTGCAAAATAAACTGAAATTAAAATGGGGAACTGTGCAACAAGACTTACATAATTTCCAACTTATTCCCAAAACATCTCTTTCTGGTGAGGCATCACAGAGAAAGTATCGCGATTTCCAAAGTCGGCATCGGGGACCAACTACTCCAACTCCAATTTGCATAAAATTTAATTCAGAAACTTGTGACAGCATTGTTGTTGTTTATGCTACTTAGAACATCCAGCTATTAAACATGGTTCAAAAAACTAAATAAATTTACCGAGGGGGTTAATCAAGTGCATAATATGACTAATAGTGATTTGAATTTGGCAGCGTGGCAGGAGTTACTGCCCTTTAATGACTCATCACGCTTGTTTATTATGAAAGGCATTATGATGGTTTTACTTTGATTGATACTTCTGATAATATCGAATCGGTGGAATGCGAATTATAGATCAGCTAAACAATTTAATAATAAAGTTGAGCAGCAAATTTTAACCGAAATCCAGCATGGTAATTATATTGTAAGTCCTACAAAACCAAAAGTAGTTAGTGCATTAGGTGCCATTCCGAAATCAAACAATAAAGTGCGTTTAATTCATGATGCTAGTAGACCCCCCGGTAAATCTTTAAATGACTATGTAGATCCAAATGCAACGTCGTGCTCATATGTGGATCTCAATGTGACCCGAGAACTTATAACCCAAGACTGTTAATTGCCAAGGTTGATCTACAAAACGCATATAGGTCTGTCAGTATTCATAAATCAAATTATTCAGTTACTGGATTAAAGTGGACCTTTATTTTCACATAAACTGATCTAAAGTTTGTGGACCTAGCACATCTCTTGTCTTTCTAGGAGTGCTAATAAATACTGAGTCAATGACTTTTGTTTAAACAATATTTATTGATAATTTACAAAATCATACATATGCTATAGATTAATGTTGGTTTCAGAAACAAGCCGAAGCTTATATAAATCTGTTACCAATACGAATATTTACAGATGATAAAAGTATAATTTACATAATATAGGAGTTGACAGCAGCGAAATGTACATTGGAAACAAAACAGGAAGTGACAAACATATTTACAAAAGGAAAGGGAATAGGGCCGAACAAATTCATTGGTGAATAAAATGTTATTGATAATGACAAATGAAAATAGTCGAGAGGGGATGAGGGTGTTTATCGTTAATCAAAATAAAATAATCTTCGTTTTAAAACGGAGGCCATACTTCGACAGCGTTAGCTAGGTGTCAAAACGTTTTGTAGATGATATAAAGTTATAAACAGTTTGAAAGATATACAGATTTGTTTCTAAAGATAATTTTGGATTGCCGTTAAGAAGTGTTAATATGCAACGTAAATGAATAGGGAGAAGATTAATTGTATTGTTTCGTTGTTTTGAAAAGTTGCGACAGTAATGAAGAAAGTGTTCAGAATTTTCAAAGGTGTGGCCGCATGAACAGGATGGATTGTCGGATATGTGCATTAAAAATTTGTGAGCGTTTAGTTGACTTTCATAATGACGTAGTTTGGTATGTATTATTTGTGATGGACGGTCGCCAGAGTAGAAATATAATGGTACAGAGGATTTTGAGGTGAATTTTACAAGCAGGGATTTAAGCTGAGAGAGGGAAGAAGAATTACGTATTGAGTCGGGCAGATTGTTCCAGATTTGTACAGTAGATGGGAGAAAAGATGATTTGTAAGCTACTGTGTTCCATGGAATAGTGCAAAAATTGTGCTTGACCTTTTCATTGTCCCCTGAGAAGCTGTCAAATATCAGAAGTTCTTCTTTTGCCTTACGTAAACGTGCTAGCAGACACCAATTAGATGTTTTGTGTGGTACGCTTAGCTGGGCTGCGCAGATAATATGTGGAGGTAGAACTTTTCTCCGCAGGATTTTGGATATGAAAGATTCTCTGTGTCTTGGTTCCCATAAAGTAAAATTAAGTGCAGACTTTTATCAAGACATTAACTGGTGGTTACAATTTTTAGAACACTTCAATGGCAGTATGAAGATTTTAGACAACAGACCCGTGAATTCAATTCAGACTGATGCATCATTGCACGACACCGGTGGCTATTTTGAAGGAGGCTTTTATTATTCCAACTGGAATCTAGACCTACCTTTTATGTCCCATGAACATATTAATGTAAAGGAGGTTGCTGTCATTTTCTTGGCTTTGGTAAGGTGGTGTCATGTGTTACAAAATAAACAAGTTATTATTCATACAGATAATATTGTAGCCAAGTCGGTGATTAATAAAGGATCCTCTAGAAACAAG